GACATCATGCTTGGTAAAATGGAGGGAAAGTGGAAAAGAGGAGGAAACCCAGTGAGATGGATTGGCACAGTGGTAGCAGCAATTGTAAGGATGGCACAGGATCAGGCGGTGTTTCATTCTGTAGGGCCATTATGAGTCATACTGACGCAACAGCATTTCACAACAATTAATGTTGATAACGCGCTGGACTGCAAAGTCAGTTTGAACTGCAAGGTCGGTGGTTCAAGCTCACCAGCTGCTCCTTGGAAATCCTATAACAGGGTCTCTGTGGGCCAGAACCAACTTGACGGCACTTAACAACAGCATCAATGTTGATATGAATCCATATCCACTCAGGCTTATAAACCCTACTTCTCTGGACTCCCAAACTTCCTTTCCTTTCTATCTTTTCTAATCTTTATGGATATTGCTATCAGCAATGGGTAGTATGGTGGCTCTGTGTGATAAGCACTGAACTGCAAACCACATGGTCCACGGTTCAAGCCTGCCAACTGCTCTGTGAGACAAGGATGAGGCTTTCTGCTCCTGCAAAGATTTAAAAGCCTCAGAAACCCTATGCAGGGTCGCTGTAAGTTGGAACCGATTCCATGGCACTTAACAACAACAGTTAGCAGATGACACTTAGCTCTCAGTTTACTTGCTAATGAAATGGACTATTCACTTATTGAATATTCTGAAAGGAAAACGTTGATGACATCTTGGCAGAAATGGAGACAGTAACATAAAGTAGTGAGATAAAGAACAAAACCTTGGCAACCAAGTTAATTTTCTTGTTCTTTCATTCATAAAGTTATCCCTAAATGTTTACTTCTCCATGGTATAGTCATACAATAGCACTGCTGCCCCGGGTCCCCCCCTCCCCCTGGTAGAGAATCGCCAGAGCAGACACCATAGCAGTGGTGAATTAGTTCAACGATATAGGAGAATCGCTCTCTGTACATTTGACAAATACCTCCCTTCATCCCATAATAATTTTGCAAGAATACAGAAGAGTGATGAAAAAGTTTTCTCTAAACTACATGGAGGAGTCCTGGAGTGGTGCTATAGGATAAACACTGAGCCACAAGGTCAGGTTGAACCCCAAAATCAGCACTTCAAACCCACCAGCTGCTCTTCAGAAACCCTATACAGAGTTGCTGTGAGTCAGAACCAACTCAATGGCACTTAATAAAACAACAATAAAACTACATGGAATCCAGAGATGTCTGACTACAAATGCCTCAACATGCAGCTTTTATTCCCCCAAGCATGGTTGAAGATAAACGGAACTTATCCTTGGTACACTTCCTGTAGTTAAGAGGTAGAAAGATAAGATAGAACTAGGCAGTCCCCTAGTAGGCACTTGATTAAAGCAAGAGAGTATCCACAACAGATCAGAAAGTCAGTTAGATGAGATTCAACAACCACCTACCAGGATTTCATGTATGGAAACACAACTCAGGGAAGTAGCAGGGCAGGGGAGGGCAGAAATGGGTCAGAATTGCATGTAGGCAGGCTTCATAAGGTGCTCGGATTAGGAATCAAGCTAGAGCCCTGGGAAAACAGCAGAGACCCAAGGGGTTAGGGAACTAACTCTTCAAGAAGAGTTAACTGTTGCCAAAGTGAAGCCTGCCCACCTTCTGGCCGGGCTTTATGCTACTTTTATCAAGATGGGGCAGCGTTATTGCCTAGGTTTAGAGCTGCCAGCTACTCTTGCGCTCAGAGGAAGCTGAGCTAGCACAGACGTGAAGTACCTTCTACCTGTAACCTCTAAATGAGTTCTAAAAGATTCTGTTAATACTCCCTTAGACTTCACTGTGAATAAACTTTAGTGTCCTTTCATATGTGTATGGTACACCTGAATATGCAAATGAAAATGGAAAAAGTAGAGTGCCTTTAACTATTAAAATAATATTAGGTACAGGAGGACAGGTTTCAATGGTGTTTGGGGAGAGAAGAAATACCTCAGTACCCTTATAGGAAAGTATGACCTTTTGTATAATTTTATGTTTGTCATGTTAGAGTCATTGGGTAAATAGAGTCAGAAAAACTGAATATGTGGGAAGATGAGGAGGACTTCCAACATTGATCAAGGTGGCTCAGGGACCAAAGTATCTAACCCAGCTGCTGCTCCTCGGAAAACCTATGCAAGGTCACATGAGTCAGAACCCACCTAACGGCAATTGTTAACAGCAACAACATTCTTATATGGCATGCCTCTGTTTGTATAATAAAAAGATGTAAGAATTCAACCATATTGGTCATTGTGGGTTTTGACTACAATTATAAACCTAAAAGAGACTGAAAACAGTTTTTAAACTAGGTTTAAAAGTGAGACTATTTTGATTAATTTAAGTGAACTACTAAGTCCTGGTGTGGTGCTGTAGGATAAGCACTCAACTGCAATGTCATTTTGAACCACAAGGTCAGTGGTTCAAATACACCAGCTACTCCTCAGAAACCCTACACAGGGTCACTATGAGTGGGAACTGATTCCACAGTACTTAACAACAACAACAAAGTAAGCATTAGAACTTTTGGACACAAATATCAGAAAAAGAGTATCTTGCCAAGCTTGCCATGTTTAGTTTAAACTAAAATGGAAAATCATTTTAAAGATAAAGGGCCCTCCCATGGAGTCCAAGCATAGTAATGGGAATGCAGCCTGATCTCAGGAAAAGCTGGAAGCAGCATTCTCTTTCTCATCGCCACCTCTCTCCGCACATGTCCTTAGTTTTTCTTTCTTTCTGGTGAATGCTTTTCCTAATCACCATAACTGCCTATCAGCTTATGCCTAAGACACTCAAAGAGACTGGTTCTACAATAGCAAAGTTTCAGAATGCAATTGAGAAAATCTGATCCATCCAATTCAGTTATATGCCCACCCTTAAACCAGGCATTGGGAGTGTGGGGGCTCCATAAGATAAGCACTGGACTTCGAACAAGGAAGATGGCAGCTCAACCCACCAGTCACTTCTCAGGAGAAATATAAGGCTTTCTGTTTCTATAAAAATGTAAAGTCTCAGAAACCCTACACAGAGTCGCTTGAGTCAAAACTGCTCAATGGCACTTAACAACAAAGTCAGGCATCCTGCCCAGACAGGGATCACTGGGGGTCTACTCTTGTGATCTGTGAAAGAAGAAGTTAAGGGCACTTCTCTGAGAAGTGGGAACTGTAAATTGACAGACATTATGAAAACTATTGGTATTTGGTTTAAATGTATAAACAGGATAAATGAATAAACTGCTTATGACATATGCCTGGTTACTATTCAGCTCAAAAGTAAATATATCATCAAATATATGGCATTAATATTAAGTTTACTTGATTACAATATTAACTTCTATTTACATAAACTCCAAGTCTCCCTTTTATTGACTCAAATAACATAGTCATTAAGTACTCATACCTTTGAAAATAATTTTTTAAAACAGATTAAAAAAAAACAACAACAATTCTCCCAACCCAGCATGTAAAGTGAAGGGCGTACTCCCCATGTGTTAAAATGTACACACCTCCTTTCATTTCTCCCAGACATCAAGTATGAAGAGAACTATTATGGATTTGAAGGTCATGGGATTGGAAAATACGTGACTGCCATGATTGTCACAGGCTTCCTTTTCCTCATCCTGCTTTTCATCATTGAAGTCAACCTCTTGACATTTAAATCTCTTTACTCTAATTTCTTATATGGTCACTTCCTCAAAAAGCGAAAGATGGTGAGTACCTGAACACCTAACTTAGAAACACTGGATGAAGAGTGTCTCTGATGCAGCCTTAATCCCCCTGTTGTTGTTGTTAAGTGCCATCAAGTCGGTTCTGACCCATAGCAACCCTGTATAGGGTTTCCAAGGAGTAGCTAGTGAGATTGAACCGCTGACATTGCAGTTCAAACTGACTTTGCAGTCCAGCGCATTAACCCACAGCACCAACCAGGACTTCCGAGCCACCCTACTCCTAGAAAATTACTCTGATAATGTATTTTACCATTTTTCCTGAATTGTGAGAACTCATATTCAAGACTGTCTACGGGGACTGAAGCTCAGCATCTCAGGGACAACTCGGACTACAGCCTGATTTTCTCTCCTGTAGGAGTTCCGATTACCACTGCACTGCTAACCACAAGGCTGGTGGTTCGAACACCCCAGCTCCTCCATGGAAGCCCTATACAGGGTGGCTATGAGTCAGAACTGGCTTGACAGCAACAACAGCTTCTTAAAGTCAGAAATAGCCACTCAATTTTGTTTTCATGGCTGGCAAGAACTTTTCTCTCCTCTTCTTTCAAGTGAAGCCTACGGATGGCTGGATTGAAAAAACTCTCACTTCCTTTGTGTATTATTATTTGTATTAAACATATTAAATGAAACATATTGACATTGTTGTTGTTAAGTCAGTTCTGACTCTTAGCAACCCTGAATAGGGCTTCTAAGGAGTGGCTGATGGGTTCGAACCACCAGCCTTGTGGTTCAAATCAACCTTGCAGTCCAGTGCTTATCCCATAGCACCACACCAGAATTCCTAATTAACATCCATATTAAATATCTGTATTTTTATTTAAACATTTCATTTCAAATGGAAGTCTTCCTGCAGAGCCTTTGGTCTGCAAAATTTAGGATCCTAAATTCATTTGTCATTGTTTATTGATGTCACATCATGGGAAAACTGCCTCATCCTAGGCAAGCTGGAAAAGCTGACTACCCTAAATGACTACATGCCATCTGTGATCCCAGCCAATGACATTCCAATTATCCATAGAATGATTATACAGCTCATGTTGTTGTTGTTAGGTTGTCGAGTTGGCTCTGATTCATAATGACCCCATGCACAACAGAATGAAACACTACCTGCTTCAGCACCATACTCACAATCATTGCTGTTTGAGCCGATTGTTTGCATCTTATTTTGGTGTTGTTAAGTACCATTGAGTCAGTTCCCACTCATAACCATCCTGTATAGGATTTTCAAGGAGCAGCCGGTGTGTTTGAACTGCCGACCTTGTGGTTAGCAGTCCAGTGCTGATCCTACAGAGCCACACCTGGACTTTGTATACATCTTAGAAGTGTTTTTAATTATGGACTCAAGTGTCTCTAAGACCAAATCGCCTAAGGAAGGGGCAATTCTTAAATATGTTTACACTCCAGAGCAATACTGAAATCTTAGATGCAGTTTTTTTTTTTCCAGATCATACCAAAAAAAGTGTTTTCAATATGCCTCTAGCTTTGTGTTAAATCTCTCTTCCTAGAAAAAGCAAGTAACTTTAACCATAGTTGTATGTCCTTAATTTCCAAAGCCACTTACAAACATTTATGCCAAACTAAATTCCAAATGGATCAGTGACTTAAATATAAATAAATAAATTGTAAGATTACTAAAGAAATACATGGAGAAAACCTAGAAATCACAAAGAAAATGGATGAATCCTATTAGCTATAGTTTTTTTTATTTTTGCAATGACAACAAAACTACGGAAAATTAAGTATGGGAGAGCTGAGGTGATAAGTAGGAAGCTGACCCTAAGACCTTCACAGAACCTCTGTCTCAGAAGATACGCTTCTCCTTACTTAAATCTCTAGTTTTCTAGCTCCAGCACAAATTGGGTTAGGGCCCTTAAAGGCAGGGCTACCTCTGACTTGTGTGGATCTTATGCTTTTGGGGCTTCTTCTTCATTAAAATAAATAAACATGTATGTGGGGAGCTTCAAAAAGTTCATGGAAAAATTCCATTATCTTTTAATTTCATTTTTCCATGAACTTTTTGAAGCATTTTCATATATATCTAGTATGACTTGTGTTAATATAAAGTCGAGTACAATTCAAGTTTAATTATATTATTTTTTTCTGACTAAAAATTAAAACATTTTGTGGGTCCTAGTGTGGCACTGTGGGATAAAACATTGAACCATAAGGCCGGTGGTTCAAACTTACCAGTCACTCTTCAGAAATTCCCATACAGGGTCGCTATAAATTGGAACGGACTCAATGGCACTTAACAACCACAACAGAAAACTATTGTGGGTTCTAGGCACTATGCTTAAGTCAGCTCTGCCTAAGGAACATTAACAGCCATGTCTCGGTAATATGGTAATATAGGTCCAGGTCAGTGACCAGGAATCGTTAGTGCCTGATGATCCAGATGTGCTTGATGAAAGAAACAAAGTGCTGGAGTGTCCCCCAGAGAATCTGTCATCCTTGAACAGTCCTCTGGTCCTTAAAGAACTCTTGAAGGTAAAGTCTATTGGCTCTGGCTTTTCTATCAGAGATATCACTCATTCAGTAGAGTTGATATCTTTTCCTCTACCTTTTGAGGGAGAAGACACCAGGGCTTAGAGGGTGGCTGCCCCAGAAACTATGAAGGTTTGGATGGATACTCTTCTAGACTGAAGGATTTTTGTATGCTGTATGTTTCTTTAGATATATTTTCACCAGGTGCCTGTTGTGGCAGTAAATAGGCTCACGTTTGCAGTTCAGAAAGGAGAGTGCTTTGGGATACTTGGTTTCAATGGAGCTGGGAAAAGCAGCATCTTCAAAATGTTGACTGGAGACAAAACCATCACTTCCGGGGAGGTCATAGTTGATGGCAAAAATATCGGCAAAAACATGGAAAAGGTAAGAGGCTATCCATTCACTAGAATTCAAAAGGAAGTGCTCCAACTCTTTACAACTAGGGACCCTAGTGCCTGAAGGCATCCATTGTATGTAACAAATTATCTGTTCTCCTTTGCATCCAGAAAGATACTAGATGATACTAGATTCTACCCTTGAGAGAATTGAGCAAAGGGTCCCTCAAATCATTTTCTGTATGTTTTAATTCTCTCCAAGAATCCTAGTTCGAAAGGCTGTGTAGAACTCCTTATGAAAGACAAACATTCTTTCTTCCCCAGTGGACTGTAAGCTTCTTGAGGGGAGATGAGCATCTGTGTTAGTCAAAGAAGCCACAGGGTCTATGGCAGCATAAAGCATATGCAGGACATTAGCAAGAAATGGGGAGCTTCCTTGGCGCTGAGTTATAAGTCTTAACTCTCTTACTGGTTTATGATCTTGGGCAACTAATTCTGTTGCCTCATCTGGAAATCAGGATATTGTGAGAACTCACTGGAATTAATTTTTTTAATTAGAAAAAAATCCTATCATCTTGTTGTTAAGTGTCATGTAGTCAGTTCTGATACTTAGCAACCCTAGATACAACAGAATAAAACACTGTCTGGTCCTGTGCCTTACTCACAGTCATTGCTGTGTTCGAGCCCATTGTTGTAACCATGTGTCAATCCATCTCACTGAGCGGCTTCCACGTTTGGAGTGACTCTTTACCAAGCATGATGTCCTTCCCGAAGGACTGGGCCTTTCTGAAAACATATCCAAAATATATGAGAGGAAATCGCATTTCCTCGCTTGGAAGGAGCATTCTGGCTGTACTTCTTTCTTCTAAGACAGATTTGTTCCTTCTTCTGGCAGTCCATGGTATATTCAATATTCCTCATCACCATCATAATTCAAAGGCCTCCATTTTCCTTTAGTCTTCTTTGTTCATTGTCCAGCTTTCCCATACATATGAGATGATTGGAAATACCATGTCTAGAGTCAGGTGCACCTTAGTCCTCAAAGTGACATCTTTGCTTTCAAGAAGTCTGGTTTTGGTTTTTGGTTTTTTGGTTTTGTTTTTTAACTTTTTATTGTGAATTAGGTGAAGGTTTATGGAACAGAACATCAGTTTCACATTAAACAAATCATACATTTTGTTTCATTTTAATCATTGCAATATACTCCATATGGCAATAGTGATCCCACTTCCTCCCTGTGATTTTAAGAGGTGGTTTGCAACAGTTTTGCCCAATATAATCATCACTGAATTTCTTGATTGCTGAAATCCACATTGATTGTGGATCCAAGTAAAATGAAATCTTTGACACCTTTAATCTTTTCACTTCTAGACTGAAGGATTTTTGTGAGGACTTATGTTTTCTATATTTCTAAACGAATTGGTTGATGTTTGGTAATTTCAAGAGGTTCCATACAATCAAGAACCAATGGTACTGAAGAAAGAAATCCAAGTTGCACTGAAGGCATCATTTAGAAGGCAAAGCTCCAGTAATTGATGGAATACAAACTAAATATTTCAACAAACTGATGCAGCACTGGAAGAATTAATTAGTCTATGCCAAGAAATGTGGGATACATCTACCTGATCAACCAATTGGAAAAGATCCACATTTGTGCTCATTCCAAAGAAAGGTGATCCAACAGAATGCTGAAATCATCAAACAGTATCATTAGTACCACATGCAAGTAAAATCTTGCTGAAGATAATTTAAAAGAGGTTGCAGCAATACACTGTATTTTCAGTCACCCCATAATTTCAATAACTTATGAAGACCACAGAAGAATGATGGTGTTGATGAAGAATATTGAAAGTACTATGGACTGCCAAAAAAACAAACAAATCATTGTTGGAAGAAGTACAGCCAAAATTGTTCTTACACGCAAGGAACTGAGATTTCCTCTCATATACTTTGGACATGTTGTCAGAAGGGAGCAGTTCCTGGAGAAGGGACATCATACTTGGGAAAATGCAGGGTCAGTGAATAAGAAGAAGACTCCCAATAAGATGGGTTGACACAGTGACAGAAACAATTGGTTCAAACAATTGTGAGGATGGCACAAGACTGGGCAGAATTTCATTCTGTTGTGCACAGGTTCGCGATGAGTCAGAACTGACTCAATGACACCTAACAACAACAACAAAAACAACAACATATATTCAGGTGTACTGGTGTGGTGCTGTGGGCTAATGCGTCAGACAGCAAAGTCATTTGAACTGCAAGGTCGATGGTTCAAACTCACCAGCTGCTCCTTGGAAACCCTATACAGGGTCACTTTGGGTCAGAATTGAATCGACAGCACTTAACAACAACAACAAGCCATACTATAGGCTAAAGTCTTTGATGCCCATTAATAAGTGCATTGAAGTCCTGTCAGCAAGCAAGATAGTATCATCTTCATATCACGAGCTGTTAATGAGTCTTCCTACATTCCTAATACCATGTTATCCTTTACATAGTCCAGTTTCTTAGATTATTTGCTCAGTATACAGATTGAATTGTTATGCTGTAGGATATGCACTGGACTACTAACCATAAGGGAGTCGTGGTGTGGCGCTCTGGGTTAATGCACCAGACTGCAAAGCCGTTTGAACTGCAAGGTCAGCAGTTCAAGCTCACCAGCTGCTCCTTGGAAACCCTATACAGGGTCGCTATAGATCAGAACCGACTCGACGACACTTAACAACAACAACAACAACTAACCATAAGGTCAGCAATTCAAACCCACCAATTGCTCCTTGGAAACCCTGAATAGGGTCACTGTGAGTTGGAATCAACTCGGTGGCACTTAACAACAACAATACAGATTGAATAAAGCTGTTGAAAGGATACAACTTCCACTCACACCTTTCCTGATTTTAAACCACTTGTTCTGTTTGAATGACTGCCTCTTGGTCTATGTACAGATCCCACATGAGCACAATGAAGGGTTGTGGAGTTCCTCACAATGTTATCCATAATTTGTCATGATCCACACAGGTAAATTTCCTTGCACAGTCAATAAAACACAAGTAATATTTTTCTGATATTCTCTGTTTTCAGTCAAGATCCATTTGACATAAGCAATGATATTCCTCGTTCTACATCCTCTTTTGAATCCTGTAATCTGAATTTCTGTAAGGTCCCTGTTGATGTACTGCAGCATCCATTTTTTAATTATCTTCAGTAAAATTGACTTGTGTCTGGTATTAATGATATTAATTTCCACATTCTCTTGGATCATCTTTCTTTGGAATGGGCACAAATGTGAATTTCTTCCAGTCAACTGGCCAAATTTCTTAGCATAGAGGATTGAGCCCTTTCATTATTGCATCCATTTGTTGAGACATCTCAATTGGTATTCCATCAGTTCCCAGAACTTTCGTTTTCACCAATGCCTTCAGTGCAGCTTGAACTTCCTTTAATACCATCGGTTCTTGATCATATGTTACTTTCTGAAATGGTTTAACATCAGCCGAGCCTTAGAATTTGTGTTATTTTGTACTATAAATAAGAGAAAACATAATGGCTATATAAATATGGCCAAGCATAGCCAATTACGAGGGGTTTTCAAAAAGTTCGTAGCAAATGGAATTAGAAGATAATGGAATTTTTCCATGAACTAACTCCCCCTCATACAATTGAACATTATATAAAAATTCTAGTGGAACTAAGTTTAAAACTACTGTCTCCAAATCCAAAATTTTGAAGTTTTTAAAAACTTTATTGTGTATAACAAACAATTTGCTATTGTAACAAATTTAAGTGTATAATTAAATGATACTAAGGTGCACCTGACCCAAGCCATGGTATTTTCAATAACCTCATATGCATGCAAAAGCTGGACAGTGAATAAGGAAGACCGTAGAAG